ACGCTACAAGAAAAATAAACATGAGGTAGATTAAATGACTAGTTTAACGAAATCAAAAATAAAGAATAAAACAAAATAGAAAACAAAGGAATAAAACCATAAGAGTCCATTTACTGGCTTCTGAGATTGTCCAAAATATGCCAGATATTAATACATTCACTGATGTCCATTAGCAGCAGGTATGATGATAACAGGCAATTAATCATATAAAATTAATACATCAAGCTTAAAATTGGTAAATTATTAAAAATGTATTAACAAATAGCAGCAGAAGTCATTTAGCAAAACATATTAACGAACAATGTACCGGTTTGTGAGAAGGGGATGTGACTGAATGAGAGAGACCTTCCTGTTGGAGTATCGGCTGATTGGTCTGTGCCATGTGTGACATGGGGGCACTTCATGTTGGAGTATCGGCTGATTGGTCTGTGCCATGAGCGACGTGGAGGCACTTCCTGTTGGAGTATCAGCTGCTTGATCTGTTTGAGGTGGCCTCTCCCACAATGGGCCGGTACTGTGTGTTTCCGGAAACCCCTTTGTTCTTCTTTGTGGAAAAGAACTGGGGGATGGTTTCAGATGGCTCATCCAACTGATTTTAGGTCCATTTTGGCAATCCAACAATAGTAATAAAGAAATCTGCTTATAGTGTTTATTTTTGGCTATTTTATGAATGTAAATGCTCAAAAATAATTTTAAAATTCTGTGTACATCTTGGAGGTAAAAGGTGTGGGTACCAATGATGCACACAGCGAGGAGGGGGGAGAAGGTAGGGCTGGGTATTGTTCAAAAATGTTCGGTTCCGGTACCAATACTGATACCTTCACTTCGATACCGGTTCCTGAACAATGCTGTTTTCAACACCAGTTTTATAATATCAATTCGAAGAAAAAGAAAATTACACAACATAAAAAAGTACAAATCTTGAGTTTTATTTTAAGCTCTGATTTTTCCATTTACATTTTTCCTCTTACATAAAAAAAAAAAATTCAGTGTCTAATATTCACTGTTACATTGTGAGGACCTTTTTCCTTAGCAGTTTTCCTTTAGAAAAATTACCATGTCTGACAAACAAGCCTGTTGAATGGGATCCTACTGACAGCGCACCGCTGGTATGTGGGGGTCTGAGCGGCTCCGACAGAAATATTGGAAGGCAGGATGAACTGACTGCACTGATTAAGTTTTCAGGTGGATTTTCCCACTTAAAAACATAATAAAACTACTTTATTCCCACTGATCACAGCAAATATAGCTGCAAGGCAAATAAAGGATAGAGTAGCTCCGCCCAACGCACGTCAGAGACACTTTTCGACCGCGCAGCCAGAGCAGCAAAGCTGCTTCAGCCGCGCGTCAGAAGCTGGTACAAGCAGCAAAAAAGGAAGCAGCAGATGCGATTTTGCTGCTCCTGCTGCGTCCAGCTTGAAAGCAGCATTTTTCAGCACTATTGGCATCAGTGTTAATAAAGTGAAGCCGCACTTTTGACCTGGGGGGCATTTTAAAGGGGTTCCACAACGCTCACAACCAGTTCACAACAGATACACATGAACCCTGGCTGTAGGTGTGACCACCTGTGTATTTTTCCTGGATGGCGCAATGACGTTAAGTGTTACAGCCAATCACCAAAACTTGGTACCGAAAGACGAGGCATGTTTCGATACTCTGTAGAACCGAAGCATTTCGGTCGGTACCATAAAAGAACCGAAGTTCGGTACCCAGCCCTAGGAGGAGGATGAAGAAAAGGAGACTGTTGTCCCTTCCAGAGCTGACATGTGGAATGCAGTTTTATAGACTGGTCTCCTGCATGTTGGTTATGATTAAACATTTGTTAAAATCTTTATTTTCAAACTTGTTAAAAAAAATGCACCAGCGGCGCAGCAGAGCTGTTGCACAGCACATAAGTTACGTAGGCTACCAGAGTTTTGTCTGCGCACTGCGCATGGTACTGTAATAAAATTCAGTAAATGCGGAAGCTTTCCGTTTCATTTCATGTTTCTCATTGAAAAGCCATACAAATGGCATTTAGATGATATTCTACATAAAAAAATACCGTATTTTCACGACTATAAGGCGCATATAAACGTCTTTTTTCCCTCAAAATGTATGGCCTATAGTGCGGTGCGCCCTATGTGTGTTGTTACTGCGGACGTTGTTGAGACCACCATGAGAATGTTAAAGGGGGAAGTGTGGGCGTGGATTGTGTATAAAATAGCAGGTATGTGCTTTATGCAGAACATTGTTGTCATAACAACCCTGAAAATGGCAAAGAGACATGCCTATGAGTGCAATTTTTCCATCCGGACCAGGACTACAGTAGCTTAGCAACGTCCGGCGGATTATAATGAAAAGCTGGCGAGCTTCCACATGGACGAGGTGCCGCTCACTTTTGACATCCCGGTGAATCACACGGTGGAGAAGAAGGGGACCAGCATGGTAGCGATACACACAACGGGGTATGAAAAGGCGTAATTTACTGTTGTGCTTGGTTGCCACGCAAATGGACAGAAACTATGGTGATTTTTAAGAGAAAGACTTTGCCTAAAGAGACTTTTCCAGCTGGAGTCGTTATTAAGGCAAATGAAAAAGGGTCGGATGGATGAGGAGATGATGAAAGCGTGGCTGAGGCAGGTGTATGTGAGGAGACCAGGTGGTTTTTTCCACTCATCACCATCGCTGTTAATCTGTGACTCCATGCGTCCCCATCTCACAGCCAATGGGAAAAACATGGTGAAACAAATGAATGCTGTGCATGCTGTTAATCTGGGAGGTCTGACAAAGGAACTTCAACCGCTCGACATCGGTGTGAACCGGCCGTTCAATGTAAGGCTGCGAGCGGCTTGGGAGCGATGGATGGCCGACGGAGACCACAGTTTCATGAAAAGTGGAAGGCAGAGCCGGGCAAGTTACGCCACAGTTTGCTGATGGATTGTTGATGCTTGGGCTAACGTGTCTGCTGGCTCTGTTGTTTGAGCTTTCCCAAAAGCCGGCATCATTTCCGAGGAGCCGCCCGGCACGGAAAGTGACTCTGAAGAAGGGGAAATTAGCATGTCTGATTTAGCGCAGCTGTTTAATTCAGAAACAGAGGATGATGACTTTGATGGGTTTGATTAATACTTTGTAATAAATACTTGAATAAAACACAAACATACTTAGTTTTGCTCCCGTTCTATTTTTAAATACGCAGTAGAGGTATTTAAACGTAGTAGAGGATATGTACCAATATATAAAACCCGCGCCCTATAATCCGGTGCGCCTTATGTGTGTGTTAAATACAGTAATGGCACACATCATGTTCGCTGAAAGAAGCCACTAGAAGCTGCCGGATCGTGAACGCCGCCTGAGAGACGGAGCCGCGCTGCAGAAGTGCTACAGGCCGCGGCTATAAGCTAACCACCGTAGCTGAAAGGGAGATGTCCCGCGTGCTACCGTAAATTATAAAATGAACCCCCTTGCAAATTGCCTTATTATTGCGTTGGATTGATCCAAATCTCTTTTAGTTGCTGTTGGACGGACGCACTGGACAGAAGCCGGACCAAGCCGAAGGCCTTCCATTCCACAGACATTCCCCCCTCCTTTACATCTGATGCTTCATAAGTGCTCTGCTTGTGTGAACTATAGATGGATAGAATAGCCGTGTTGGTAGGCCTGTCACAACAACAAATTTTGCTAAACGATTAATTGTCTCAAAAACTATTGCGATAAACGATAATATTTTTTAAAGGCCTTTTTACACTGATTTAATGGAAATGACATAATAATTCATGCGATTTCCTGCCAAAGATAAACACACTTTATTTTCAACAGAACACTTAACACTGGAACTGGTTAACAAAATAAAATGAGAAATAAAAATCAAATGGACTCTGTCTCTGTTAACTAGAAATACACCTGAATAAAAACTAAACACAACATAAAACTACAGTGGAAATAAAAACTACATTCAATCAAAAGAATATAGATAATGTTTGTAAAGTCTGTGTATCATTAGATTTAAAAAAAGATTTTATTTTTTATAAAAAAAAGATGCAAAGTAACAAAAGCAGATTCTTAAGTAAGCTTCAGCTACATGAATCTTTTTCATGAGAATAACAAATAGTTTGTCACAGGAATGTTGTGTGGATTAATTTTTACTCTACGTAGGCTTCAGAGTGAAGTAGAAATAAACCGTGGGGGAAAAGATTGAACTTGTGTTTTGTGATTGAAATCAAAATTTCTTCTGCAGAATAATGTGATCAAAATATTGTCATCTATGTTAACCCTGTTTTTCTTAAGATGTTTTGCATTACCCATATTGTGTCTTAAGAAGATGTGCATTATGTCTGTTTGCAGTCTAGCTCTGCACTGCGGTCAGCAAAGACAGAATGCTAGATAAAGAGCTGGATTAGACCAGAATGGAATGGAGCTCTGGCTTTCTGAAGTGCTTCTCCCTTTTATTTTGGCTTTCTGTGATAAATGTGTGTGCATACCCTTGTTTGGGGCTTATCAATAGGGTCACAGTGGAGCTGGTAACTCCACTGGTCTGAGAATGTTGCCAATACCCAGTTCCATCCCCACAGCCTCCACTCTGGGTCTCTGAGCAAGACCCTTAACCACCAATTGCATAGTGGTAGTCCACTGCTCCCCAAGGGGATGGATTAAACGTAGAGGTGCATTTCTCCAGTGTGAGATCAATGAAGTAAAAAGAAAAAATAATAATCCTAGATAGTAGAGCAAAAAACAAAACAAAGGAAAAACAGTTTTAACATTGTTTGAGTGGTTAATGGTTAAGATTCTGCAGGGAATCTGATTTTAAAGCTTTGATGATAAAAGTGGAGGTCAAAACCTTACCAGATGATGGATAATCAACCAGTTGTTGTAACCTCTGATTGTAATGTCAGAGCTGCAGTGTATGCTGGGAGGTGTAGTTTCAATCTGTTTATATGTAGTTAGATCAACGCAAGGATGAGTAACGTGAAGTGTCCTTCGTTTAACCACCAATAGAAAGTCTTTCTGCTGTTTCTTTCCAGACCACCTTCAGGATTATGTTGGAAAAGAGGAGGATTTCTCTGACCAGCAGCTCTGTGAACAGGAGAGGAATTCCAGTTTGAAGCAAGAGGAACCAGACGCCTTGCAGATAAAAGAAGAGCAGAAGGAACCAGAACATTCCTGGACAAAAGAGAAAACCATGAAACTCCCCAAAAGTGAGCATAAGGAGCAGCTTGTTCTGAAGCAGGAGTCTGAAGATATAGGAGAGAAACCTTTCCCATGCTTAACATTGGGAGAAAACTTTATAGAAAAAGAACATTTAATGGATAATATCAGAATTCACACAGGTGAGAAGTCTTTTGAATGTCTGTCCTGTGGAAAAACCTTCACCTCTAATTCAGATCTTGATAAAGACTTCAGAATTCACACAAATGAGAAACCTTTTTCTTGTATGATTTGTGGCAAAAGTTTTAATTTTAAAAGTCATTTGACTAAACACATGAGAATTCACACAGGTAAGAAGCCTTTCTCCTGTACCATTTGCAGCAAGACTTTCACTGAAAAGGGTAATTTGACTTCTCACATCAAAATTCACACAGGTGAGAAACCTTTCTCCTGTACCATTTGTAAAAAGGATTTTACTGAAAAGGCTAGTTTGACTTCTCACATAAGAATTCACACAGGTGAGAAACCTTTTTCCTGTCCCATTTGTAAAAAGAATTTCACTGAAAAGGGTAGTTTGACTTCTCACATGAGAATTCACACAGGTGAGAAACCTTTCTCCTGTACCATTTGTAAAAAGAATTTCACTGAAAAGGGTAATTTGACTTCTCACATGAGAATTCACACAGGTGAGAAACCTTTTTCCTGTACCATTTGTAAAAAGAATTTCACTGAAAAGGGTAATTTGACTTCTCACATGAGAATTCACACAGGTGAGAAACCTTTCTCCTGTACCATTTGCAACAAGACTTTCACTGAAAAGGGTAATTTGACTTCTCACATCAAAATTCACACAGGTGAGAAACCTTTCTCCTGTACCATTTGTAAAAAGAATTTTACTGAAAAGGGTAGTTTGACTTCTCACATGAGAAGTCACACAGGTGAGAAACCTTTCTCCTGTCCCATCTGTAACAACAAGTTTACTAAAAGGAGTAATTTGACTTCTCACATGAGAATTCACACATTTGAGGATCCTTTTTCTTGTACGGTTTGTAAAAAAAAATTTACTGAAAAGGGTAGTTTGGCTTCTCACATGAGAATTCACACAGGTGAGAAGCCTTTTTCCTGTGCCATTTGTAAAAAGAATTTTACTGAAAAGAGTAGTTTGAATCGTCACATGAGAATTCACACTGGTGAAAAGCCTTTTTCCTGTACCATTTGTAACAATAATTTTACTGAAAAGAGTAGTTTGACTCGCCATATCAGAATTCACACAGGTGAGAAGCCTTTTGAATGTCTATCCTGTGGAAAAAGCTTCACCTCTAAGTCTGATCTTGATAAACACATCAGAATTCACACTGGTGAGAAACCTTTTTCCTGCATGGTTTGTGGAAAAAGTTTTACTCATGAATTTAATTTGACTAGACACAGTAGAACTCACACAGGTGAGAAACCTTTTTCCTGTACGAGATGTGACAAGAATTTTACTGATAAAAGTAGTTTGACTTCTCACATGAGAATTCACACAGGCGAGAAGCCTTTTGAATGTCTGTCCTGTGGAAAAAGCTTCATTCAGAAATCTCAACTTGATAGACATATTAGAATTCACACAGGTGAGAAGCTGTTCTCCTGAATGATTTGTGACAAAGGTTTTAAATGAGAAAGTAATTTGAGTATTCAGATGACAATTATTCATGCATGATCTGTAATGATTTATATAAAAAGAAACACTGATTTCACATAAGTTATGTTACCCTGCAACCTCGGATGGCTGAGGGTAATGTGTGCGATGATCTTCCCTCAACGTGTGGTGCTGTGGTATGAGAAAGACGAAACACACATGTTGAGCTTCTTTACCTTCAACCAGAAGATTTATTCTTCTTGTGTGTTCCAAACACTTCATTACAACATTCTTCAGTAGAGGACCATTAGCTTCATTACATAAGAAATGGCTGTAATATACCTTTTAAACCAAACAATCAACTTTTAACATACTCCATTTAGCATTATGAACTATGTCAAATGACAAAATTTATTTACAAATGGCTTCTCTGTCTAACCATATGAACTTTGTAGTTAGTGCTTTAAATCCAATGTCCTTTTTTGTATTTTACTATCAAAGTAGAAATGTACATTAAATGGTTTTTTAACTATTTTAATAGCTTTTACCATTTTTAATCAGCATAAATAAAATATATTTTAACATTTAAGCATCTTAGCTTTTAACAATAGTATTTTACATCTCACATAAATTCCACTCTCAATATAAAACTGGAAAAGACACAATATTCCTTTAATGTGCTTCAGCCTTCAGCTTCACATATATTCTAAATATATGGCTTATCTGGTATTTTATAACAAACCCATAAAAAAGCATTAAATAAAATAAAAAACCGAAATTATTTCCTTTGAGTGTGGACTCCTTCAAAAAGTGCAAAACATAGGTTCAGATTAACTCCAGTCCTTTCAGCTAGCTCTAGCATATGTGAAGTTAGCTAACATTGGCTCTAACTAGCATTCTGAACTAGTCCCGTTTTGTACACAAAAACCATCACAAAATGAACTACATGACTCATTAGTTGAGATTCAATTTAAGATCCTTTTCAACTCTTCAAGAGTACTAATATTGGTACATAAAACCATATTTATACTGACCTGTGGTATGAGAAAGACGAAACACACATGTTGAGCTTCTTTACCTTCAACCGGAAGATTTATTCTTCTTGTGTGTTCAATCTTTTTCATGCCGCCAACGCGTCAGCGCCCCCTAGCGGCCGCGGCCGGAACTACATGGACTAAATGAATAACACCATATAATCTAATAAAATAAAAAATCAAAGACACAAAACGAAAAAATAATGTTGGGGTGCCTGTTTTCCAACTTCTTTGTTTTATCCACTAAAACTGGCTTTTCACCCCTCTACAGTTACAGCAGGTAGACACCACAGGAATGAAGAGCAGAAGCGTTTTGCATGTTTGACTGGTGATAATTTCTTCATCTATAAACTGCTTCACGCCATTGCATGAGAAACTCACAGGTTAATGGTGTTTTTTGAACACTGTTAATTAATGGCTTTTTTGATGAAGCCATTAATTAACAGCTATGTTTACATAGAAAATAGAACATATAAGGTGTTATAATGTAAACCTGGTAAATATTCACATCCTGGGTGAATATGTGGATGTGAACATTTAAAAGTTAATTATTTTGGGCCTGAATAAATTAGATTTAAATGGCTGTAAAAAAAAAAAAAGAATGTCGCCTTAGCAAAAAATAGATGCTTAAATTCACAGCTTCTTACTTTTTTTGGAATGAAGTGATCAAACATAATAAAGTGGAACAACAACATCTTGGTTACAGATGAAGCAAGTTTGCTGTCCATAGAACAAGCAATTGAGAAGTTATAGATGTTTAAATTGAAAAACAATCCAGAAGGACCCCTGCTGTGCCATTTTGGTATGATGTGGCACGATTTCTTCTGAATGAATTTATTCAACAACAAAAAAAAAAACTCAGACGTTTTATTTTTGAGACTTAGAAACTTTTAGCTGAAAGACTGCTATTGGTTGAGGATATTCAAGAAACAAACTTTAATTCTGATGAAAAAAAAGCAAAGATAGGATAGATTTAATGTGCTTTGCTCAGTTTTGCTGATCTTTTTTTGGGACGTTTTTTTTTAAGAGGTCAGCTGCAGAAACCAGGCCCACCAACACTCCAACTGTTTTAGCCACAGTGTTAGAGCTATGCTCAATGGATATTAGAATGAAGTACACTACCGTTCAAAAGTTTGGGGTCACCCAAACAATTTTGTGTTTTCCTGAAAAGTCACACTTATTCACCACCATACATTGTGAAATGAATAGAAAATAGAGTCAAGACATTGACAAGGTTAGAAATAATGATTTGTATTTGAAATAAGATTCTTTTTACATCAAATTGTGCTTTCTTCAAAGAATCCTCCATTTGCAGCAATTCCAGCATCGCAGACCTTTGGCCTTCTAGCTGTTAATCTGTTGAGGTAATCTAGAGAAATTGCACCCCACGCTTCCAGAAGCAGCTCCCACAGTTGGGTTGGTTGGATGGGCACTTCTTGCGTACCATACGGTCAAGCTGCTCCCACAACAGCTCAATGGGGTTCGGATCTGGTGACTGCGCTGGCCACTCCATTACCCATAGAATACCAGCTGCCTGCTTCTGCTCTAAATAGTTCTTGCACAATTTGGAGGTGTGTTTAGGGTCATTGTCCTGTAGTAGGATGAAATTGGCTCCAATCAAGCGCTGTCCACTGGGTATGGCATGGTGTTGCAAAATTGAGTCATAGCCTTCCTTATTCAGAATCCCTTTTACCCTGTACAAATCTCCCACCTTACCAGCACCAAAGCAACCCCAGACCATCACATTACCTCCACCATGCTTAACAGATGGTGTCAGGCATTCTTCCAGCATCTTTTAATTTGTTCAACGTCTCACAAACGTTCTTCTTTGTGATCCAAACACCTCAAACTTGGATTCATCCGTCCACAACACTTTTTTCCAGTCTTCCTCTGTCCAATGTCTGTGTTCTTTTTCCCAACTTAATCTTTTTCTTTTATTGGCCAGTCTCAGATATGGCTTTTTCTTTACCACTCTGCCCTGAAGCCCAGAATCCTGCAGCCGCCTCTTCACTGTAAATGTTTACACTGGTGTTTTGCAGGTACTATTTAATGAAGATGCCAGTTGGGGACCTGTTAGGCGTCTGTTTCTCAAACTAGAGACTCTAATGTACTTATCTTCATGCTCAGTTGTGCAACGCGGCCTCCCACTTCTTTTTCTACTCTGGTTAGAGCCTGTTTGTGCTGTCCTCTGAAGGGAGCAGTACACACCGTTGTAGAAAATCTTCAATTTCTTAGCAATTTCTAGCATGGAATAGCCTTCATTTCTAAGAACAAAAATAGACTGTCAAGTTTCAGATGAAAGTTCTCTTTTTCTGGCCATTTTAGCATTTAATTAACGCCACAAAAGTGATGCTCCAGAAACTCAATCTGCTCAAAGGAAGGTCAGTTTTGTAGCTTCTGTAACGAGCTAAACTGTTTTCAGATGTGTGAACATGATTGCACAAGGGTTTTCTAATCATCAATTAGCCTTCTGAGCCAAAGAGCAAACACATTGTACCATTAGATCACTGGAGTGATAGTTGCTGGAAATGGGCCTCTATACACCTATGTAGATATTGCACCAAAAACCAGACAATGGCAGCTAGAATAGTTATTTACCACATTAGCAATGTATAGAGTGTATATCTTTAAAGTTAAGACTAGTTTAAAGTTATCTTCACTGAAAAGTACAGTGCTTTTCCTTAAAAAATAAGGACATTTCAATGTGACCCTTAACTTTTGAACGGTAGTGTAGATCACCTATAGAGGAGTCTCAGATGAAGATTTGGGACATATAGAAGTGTGTGTCAGTCTCAGAGTTAGTCAGCTACAAGCTAATTCATGTTGCAAAGTAGCTCCAGCCACCTTGAAAGGGGGTGCTGGGATTATGGGGTTAAACTACGGGACATCAAAGAACTCAGTTTAGAGGCTGGAGTCTGTAGTTCAGGTAAATTGAAGTCCTTAAATGATGAAACATGTTTGTTTAAAAAGATAAACTAGATTGATGATGTTGATGTTATTTTTACTGATCAGTTTGAACCTGCTTTAACTCGGTAAAAAGCCTTTGTCTTAATAATGTATTAAAGAAATCTGACTCTCCTCTAGAAGTGTGAAGTTTCTGCTTTTTAAAGATTTTTTGAAAGTATAATTTTATAATAGTTTTGTTCTTGATTCTGTAGATGTTCTATTTACCTGCTATGATTGAAAGTAACTATCACCTATTTTATACAACTGATTTTATGGATTATATTCAGCTGTGGATGTTTCTAATTATTGTAATCACTTATAATTGATGAACGAGCAGCAATAAAAACCTCATGGATTGTAAAAATGTGTTTCTTTATATGGTTTCATATAAATTAGAAACAATGTTTTTCCATGTTTTCTCTGATATTTTCAGCCAAACTAAAGCTGTAAAATAAATAGTTTAATGGCATTCACCTTCTGTCTTCTCCAGTCTTTCCTGTTGCTCCTCCGTCAGCATTAATCTGTTTGCTTTTTAGAGCCTGAGTTCAAATCTGGCCATTGGATAAATCCTCCTTTGCTTGTTGGAGAACTTAGATTAGGAAATAATGTAGGTACGTATTCTGGTCCAGTTGGTTTGGCACCTGATAAAACAAGTGTTTCAGTTGCTATAACTGTGTGTGTCCAGAGCCGCTACAACCAAGCAACTAGAGGAATGAAGGATCTAACTATGGCTGTGTTCACAATGCAGCCTGAAGGGAACCAAATCTGATGTTTTTATTAATTAAAAATCATTACAAAATGCCAAAACGAAAGTTCAGCTTCACAGATGAACTCCAGCAAACATTTTTAGTCCAGTGGGAGGCTGAGTGCACCGTGTGCAAAGCTGGCTCATTAGCTTCAGTGTCTAATAAAGGTGCTGGAGATCTCAAAGCTCACATGGACACTGAAAAACCTGAAAAAGCTCTGAGAGGTGAGAGTTATTCTGCAAAGCTGACTGAGTACTTTGTTAGACCTGGGAACATTTGTTGAAGCTGTACTTTCTAGTACAGAAGAGGTCATATTTAGAATATTATTTGACTTTATGTATTTTAAAAGAGCTATAATTTTGTTACTGGTTGTTACAGATTTCGTTTTACTACAAAGGTTATTTTTGTACCATTTAGGCAGTGGTGTAGTCTATGTGATAACCATATCACCACTTAAAAGTGCCCAATAATACTCCGTTCACACCGGACGCAGCAGGCGCAGCGAGTTTATATGCAAAGTCAATGGTTGACACTCGCGCCACAAACATGCTGCTGCTTGAGATGGAAAAATTGAACTTTTGCTGTTTGACGCGCCGCATCAACCAATCAGAGACGCTGATCTGGGAGCTGGCCGTGAGACAGACACATCGCTGAGGACACAGAGCGCTGTGATCGCTCCTCTAAAACAGTTTATTAACACCTAAATTAACTAAAAAGGCTGAAATCTGCCGACAAAGCGTGTTTGCTTTTATTATCCTGTCGCCTGCAGTTTGGATTACGTTCATGAAAACCGCTTCCATCCGCCGTGGCGAACTGCGAGGTGGCGACCGGCCAGAGGCTGCTGTTGAATGGGATTCCTACTGACAGCGCACCGCCGGTATGGGGGGTCTGAGCGGCTCCAACAGAAATAATATTGCAAGGCAGGATGGTAATCTGGATGAACTGACTGCACTGATGAAGTTTTCAGGTGGACTTTCCCACTTAAAACATATTAAAACTACTTTATTCCCACTGATCACAGCAAATATAGCTGCAGGGCAGAGAAAGGATAGAGCAGGGAGCCTGAAAACCTTAAACCACTGATCACTTGCATGCAAACCATTCCATGTAGCACAGCTGAGTGTGAAAGAGGATTCAGCTTAATGAACAATATCTGTACAGATAAAAGATCTTCTCTGTCAAATATAAGTCATCTCATGATGATCAGTATAATGGGCCTCCTGTTAATCTTCTTGAACCTAGGAAGAATGTGACAACATGGTTAAGAAACCGCCGCTCTGCAACAGAAACAAGAAGACAAGTGAAACATAAGGAGCCTCAAAACAAACATGTCTGGAACATTTTATAGACACAGTTTTAACCTGCATAGTACTTCTGTACTTACATGTAGTACTTGATACATAAGCATGTTTTGTTGTACTGTTTTATAGATTCTACGTATTTTCAATACAAAGCCAACTATAGTACAGTTTGTTGTTCATTGATTCAAATGTAAGCAACAGAGAAATTAAGCAATGTTAAATATGCTTGAAAATAAAAAAAAGGTCAATTACATTGCACTTACTGGCGTGCTTATTTCTAAGCACAGTATACCCACTACAATAATGTAGACTACAGCACTGCATTTAGGTATAATAAAGCTGTTGGTGAACCTTTGAGAAGCCTGTCTGAATCCGTCTGGAGGCAAAGTGTCCTCTTTATGGAAATCTAAATATGCTCACCCTAATATATATACCTATTCTAAAAGAATTAGTTCTGTAGTTCCCATTTTTAAGCCAACTGATGTTTGCAGGAGCTGTTTTGAACTAGACTACAGAGGGACGGCAGCAGTTTATGGATCATGTTACTTCATGTTTTTGAACTTTATTAGGGAGATTCACTGAGCCTCCTGATGGGTTTTTAGGCACAAGACAATTTGGAGATAAAGGCTCTTTATCTAAACACAAATAATCCAGTAGATTGTATGTTTGACCTCCTCTGCCATAAAACACGAGCATATTTACATAAAATAATGAGATTTTAAATTAATTCAGTCTTGTTTAAATGAAACTTTCAGTTCCCCACCATGTCCCCTTTTCTATGTTCTTCTGAAATCAATTTATGATTATAATAAAAAACAAAGTAATTCTGTTTTAAAAGTTACTGATAAATAGTACAGGTTGTGTAGTTTAAAGTACTTTAAGGCTGAAATGAATTAAAATAACCCAAACTGAATCAGCAGAGATATCTAGAAGAGGGTTAAACGGGTCTCATCAGAAAGAACCAGAACAACATGCAGACAGCAGTGAGTGGGCGGAGCCAAGATACCTGGACAGGTGAGGAAGAGTTTGGACAACATCCTGAGGATCATTAAATGCTGAGACAGCATCTCCTCCATCAGTAACTGGATCAGAACCAGGATAGATATCCTGATCACATCTAAAGCTTTGCTGTTTATCAATAAATCATTTTTCATCAGAACATCTTCTTCATCTTCCTCATCCATCAGAACACCAGCAGGGGGCAGTCTGGGCTCAGAGGAGGCAGGCCACAGGTTGGGTCAGGATGTTCTGGTGGTTCTAGTTCTAAAACCTGGAGCTTCCTGTTTGATGAAGAACCTCCTGGAACCGTCCAGATTCTACCCTGAACCTCAGCTGCTGTTGTTTGTTTCATCTTTCCTGGTTTCTCAGTGTTTCTGTGTTGAGTCTAAATAGTCTCCTCCTGTCAGAGAAACTCTCCCACAGTAGAACAGATAGTTTGGTCTCTCCATGTCTGTCTCTTTCACTCAGAAACATTTTCACATTCAGTCGGTTTCTTTCTGAAACTCCTGGAAAAGATTCCTTGTAAACTTCGTCCTCTTCCAGTCCTTTAAAGATGGAAGCTGGGATTATTCCAGGATCCAAAGGTTTGGTTCTGTTTCCACTCAAACCTTCATTTAGGGTTTTTCCACCAATGAGCCTTCAGTGCTATACCAATGCTGCTGGAGCTGGTTCTGTTCTGGTTCTGTTCTGGTTCTTTCCGTCTCTTCCAGTAAATGTTTGATCCTGGCTCTTAATCTCACCGTCAGAGGAAGATTGAACATTTCTATCTCCAAGCTTTTCTGTCCTGTTTCTTCTTTGTGTCTCTAATGTAGTTTTTCTTGGTCTGATCTGAACAGTTTTGTTCATTAGTCCCAGATAAACAGGCTGCCTCCTCAGGATCTGTGGGCTGTGAAGTTCTGGGTTTCTGGAACTAATTAGTGATGGAAAATGATGACGCTGTTTGAACTGCCCAGCTGGTTGTTCAGTTCTTCACTGTTAGCATCTGCTATGTTTTAATCAGCCAGATCAGTTCCCAATATGACTTCTGATGAGACAGTTCCTTAAAGAAGAATCATTCCAGACTATCTGTGGCTGAACTGCAGAGGATGGAAATATTGGAGAATAAAACTGAATTTTATGCCATTTTTCTGATTCTTAATTTTGAAAATTAATGTACAATTTTGGCACAATAAAGGCATTTTCTATTCTATTCTTCTATTCTATACTACAATTAATATTCTATATTCTAGTCTAACAAGTCTAGTCTCTTTCTCCTCCAGTGAATCGTTTCTCTCCATCAGCTGTTGTCCTCAGTGGGATGTTTCATTCTTCCTCCACATTAAATGTTTTCCTGTCATTTGGATCCTGACCTTTAGATGTTTGTATTTTTTCTCTGTCAGTTTCTGGTGTTTCTTCTTTTGAATTTCAGACTGTTGGTATTTTACCGCAGGTATTTTCACTGCTGTTCCAGTGCTCTTGTAATGGGTCTGCACCATTAACCTCACTGGATCTGCTGGTTGTTTGAAACACAGCAGCCCAGTTTAGAGGCAGCAGACACTCTGACCATATATGGCTGATAGAAACAGAGCTGAGTCAATGTGAAGGTCAGAGGATGGATGAATGAAGGAAGTCAGTGAAAGATGTCACCTCCTCCTGCTCCTCCCTCTCTGGTTATTGGCCAGTGAACTGAAAAGGAGCAGACCCACTTCTGATGTGAATGGTGTTCATGAGAGGAAGATGTTAAAATAAAGATGAAATATAGATTTAAAACAAAGTCATCAATTCTTCCTGCTTTTCTCCTAATAACGAGGTCCAGCTGCAGTCACTGAGGTTTCTCACTGTTTCTGTCCTCCATCTTTTCTAATCCTTCAAATCCAAAGTTTATATCATCAACTTCCTGAAGCAGAGCTGAGGCAGCAGCACTATGGGTTTCTGTGTGTTTCTATCCTGTAATGACGTCTATCAGTCTGAAGGCGGTCCAGATTCAGCTCAGCAGTCCAGAGTTCCTTTCCTATCCACAGTAGTGTCCTTACTGTTGACCCCATTAAAGATGAAGGAGCAGGAGGTAGGAACAGGAGGTAGGAGCAGGAGGTAGGAGCAGGAGGTAGGAGCAGGAGGTAGGAACAGGAGGTAGGAGCAGGAGGTAGGAGCAGGAGGTAGGAACAGGAGGTAGGAGCAGGAGGTAGGAGCAGGAGGTAGGAACAGGAGGTAGGAACAGGAGGTAGGAGCAGGAGGTAGGAACAGGAGGTAGGAGCAGGAGGTAGGAACAGGAGGTAGGAGCAGGAGGTAGGAACAGGAGGTAGGAGCAGGAGGTAGGAACAGGAGGTAGGAGCAGGAGGTAGGAACAGGAGGTAGGAGCAGGAGGTAGGAACAGGAGGTAGGAACAGGAGGTAGGAGCAGGAGGTAGGAACAGGAGGTAGGAGCAGGAGGTAGGAACAGGAGGTAGGAACAGGAGGTAGGAGCAGGAGGTAGGAACAGGAGGTAGGAACAGGAGGTAGGAACAGGAGGTAGGAACAGGAGGTAGGAGCAGGAGGTAGGAACAGGAGGTAGGAGCAGGAGGTAGGAGCAGGAGGTAGGAACAGGAGGTAGGAGCAGGAGGTAGGAACAGGAGGTAGGAGCAGGAGGTAGGAACAGGAGGTAGGAGCAGGAGGTAGGAGCAGGAGGTAGGAACAGGAGGTAGGAGCAGGAGGTAGGAACAGGAGGTAGGAGCAGGAGGTAGGAGCAGGAGGTAGGAACAGGAGGTAGGAACAGGAGGTAGGAGCAGGAGGTAGGAACAGGAGGTAGGAGCAGGAGGTAGGAGCAGGAGGTAGGAACAGGAGGTAGGAGCAGGAGGTAGGAGCAGGAGGTAGGAGCAGGAGGTAGGAGCAGGAGGTAGGAACAGGAGGTAGGAGCAGGAGGTAGGAGCAGGAGGTAGGAACAGGAGGTAGGAGCAGGAGGTAGGAGCAGGAGGTAGGAACAGGAGGTAGGAGCAGGAGGTAGGAGCAGGAGGTAGGAACAGGAGGTAGGAGCAGGAGGTAGGAACAGGAGGTAGGAGCAGGAGGTAGGAGCAGGAGGTAGGAGCAGGAGGTAGGAGCAGGAGGTAGGAACAGGAGGTAGGAGCAGGAGGTAGGAGCAGGAGGTAGGAACAGGAGGTAGGAGCAGGAGGTAGGAGCAGGAGGTAGGAACAGGAGGTAGGAGCAGGAGGTAGGAACAGGAGGTAGGAACAGGAGGTAGGAGCAGGAGGTAGGAACAGGAGGTAGGAACAGGAGGTAGGAACAGGAGGTAGGAACAGGAGGTAGGAGCAGGAGGTAGGAACAGGAGGTAGGAGCAGGAGGTAGGAGCAGGAGGTAGGAACAGGAGGTAGGAACAGGAGGTAGGAGCAGGAGGTAGGAACAGGAGGTAGGAGCAGGAGGTAGGAGCAGGAGGTAGGAACAGGAGGTAGGAACAGGAGGTAGGAGCTCCAATCTGCTGGATTCAGACTCATATTCAGAGTGTTGGGCTGGAACCCTGACCCAGTGGTTCTGGATGAACCCTGACCCAGTGGTTCTGGATGAACCCTGACCCAGTGGTTCTGGATGAACCCTGACCCAGTGGTTCTGGATGCTTCTTCCTGTCTATCAGGTTCTGAGGCGTTTGATGAACTCAGTGTAAATCTGTTGTTGCTCTGCAGCGGTTCTATAGGAACTTTAAACTGTTGCAGCTCTTTGGACCATGTGACGTTTGTTTGGGTCGCTGCAGCTTTCTGAATAGAACCTGTTGGTTCTGATTCTTCTTCATGTGTATTTATGCTGCTGTGCCGCACCTCACTCAGATATTGTTGGAAACTTAACATAAAAATCTAATAAAACCCTGAAAATCAAGCTGCATGGAGTCATTATGATGATTATTTCCTGGAATCAGGAATGTTGCTGTTGATGCAAATATAATAAAATATGTGAATATAATTAGTTCTGCATTGTGTTTCACATTAAACTTTTTTTTTACTAACTTTAACTAATTGATTTTAATGTTATTGTTGTTTCCTGGTTTTTAAAATCCTACAAAATGTCTTTCTGTTTTCCCACCAGGTGAAGATAAATGTTCTATTAGTTCATGAATAAATATATTTGCAAAGATATTATGTATTTCATGACTTATCAGAGAAAATCCAACTGGATCAGAACCAGAACTGCTGGCAGTGTTGGACCTTCCTAGGCTGAGACCAGAACCTCCTCCACCTGCCTTTAAACTCTATATATTGGATCTAATCTAAATACTTTTGTTCTTTTTTAGAGACTAATTGTTAAAAGTAGAATTTTTGACTTTTAAATTTGGATAATTTCTAACATCTGAGTCCAAAGACGTATAGATGAATTAAGAACCAAGTTCTGGTTCTGATTGTGAAGCAGAATCTGTTTAGAATCAGTTCTTTCTGGTTCTGAAGGTGAACATGTTCTGGTCTGACGATCTGCTGGTGGAGAGAATCCAGAGCAGAAGATCCAACCTAACTAGAAGCTGTGGAGCAGTGAGATCAGCCTCAGAACCAGCTGTAGAGCTCTGATTGGACCTCTGGGTTCTAAAGGATGATGGTTTGGACCTTTTTCCTGGAGAAGAGACACATTCAGTCATCAAATGGTCAGTGTGAGCGGCTCAGCCTGGAATATGGCTGGTTATCTGGAGGTTGTTGGTTTGAATCCACCATGATCCTCTCCATACACCTGTTCAGGTTCTGTTGGAGGTCCATGAGGCAGGAGTCATCATCCAGCTGCTCCACCTGCTGCAGGTTCTTACAGTCCAGCATCTGGAGCTGGATCCACTGCGCCATCTGCTGGTGACAATGAGCAGCTGCAACCTGATAGAACATAGAAAATGATTGATTAGAATTAACGTTTATTAGAATATTTGACAGAAAAAGGAGCTCAGATTCAAACTAGAACTAAGAGTTTGTATCAAGAAGGTCTAATAAAGAAGTTAGAGTCATTCTGCAGAGATGGAGATACAAGCTTTAACCACAAACTCCTTCTGTAGAGGTCTCTGCAGAACAAAGGAATGTGATTGGTGGAGTCAAAGGCTCAGGAAGTAGGTATTCCTAATAGGTAGAGAGGAGAGCACAGATTGGAGCTAACATTCAATCATTTCAAGAGTTAAAGAATGAAAACTTGACATCCTCTGACATTTATTGAATGAGGAATCATGTCTGTAGTTTGATTGAAGGAATCTTTCTATGGTGGACGTGTTTCTGTTGGGAAGAGTTGATTGAATCATGAGGAACCAAGCAGGAACTGACGTCCATCAGAGCGCTGCTCTCTAACTCCAGTCCTCCAGGGCTGCTGTCCTAAAACTTTTAGATGCATCTTTGATTCAACATACCTGACTCCAGAATCAGCTCATTAGCAGAGATCTATAGAGCTTGGCTGCTGCTGCTGAGCCTGTAGTCCCAGTTTGACCAGCATCATTGATGTGTGTGTCTGCCGCTTAATGACGTCTGTAATGACAACAGGTTTTTCTACAATATTTAAACTTTGAAAATGAATCTCTTTATATTAAGGTGGAAAAGCAAATTGAAGATGTTTGGTTCTCAAAGCATGGATATCATTTTTGGAGTATTAGGCTACTGGTGGTTGTTGTTGGAAGGCATTGGTTTGACGTGCGCTCAATTAAGATTTAGAATGCCGATCTTCCGTTTGACATAAAACAAAGTCATTTATTTTCAGCACAAAGTCCATTGTCTTACCGTTTCCTTCAAGATCCACATAAATTCACCATATATCCAAACCAAGCACAGTAGAAAACAGTTTGCCTCAGCCTATTAACAACACCTGAACAGAATTGATGGTTGACCTTAAATAACCCATCCCCTCATTAAACACTCAGAACTCAAAATTAAATACGCCCCCTGGTGGCGACAAACACCAAAGGATAATTGGCTCCTACACCTGTCTTCTTTGTGTCAGTTTGATCCCATTCAATGTTTATTATTAAAAAACAAATAGTTAACTTTCTTTTTTGCTTCATATGTGTGTGACCTAACATGACCACACCTGCAGGTGCAGGAGATCCATTAGAGTTGATATATGTTGTTGTGTTTCCATGGAAACCTCTATACTTCTGCACCATGGGCATGAAGGAGTGTGTGTCTGAGTGACCTTCTGAACTCACACCTGCCAAAGTAGATCTGACTTCTCCTGCTCTGTGGAGGGCGGGAAATTCCTGCAAGGACATTGGTAGTTCATGCAAAATCAGAGAGGAGCAAATATAAAAGCTTGCTCAGTAGTCCTCTATCTGAATCATTCCTCATTGTGCTCTGAGTGGACTGCAATATTCACGCTCTTTTTGAAAATGTTTTTGAAAAAATGTACTGTCTAAGAAGTTTCTAAACAGCTATTTGACAGTGAAAGGGACTCAGAGGAGCTCGTCTCTGAGACACTGGACTGTGTTGAGGAGGACCCATATTTCAAGGACTTCTCATCTAATGAGAATGTTGGCTCTGTTCCAAAACCTGGGCTGCATCCTCCAAGGACGCGGTCTACCTAGACTGGATCCTTCCAAGTCCGTGAAAATAAGGAGACCGGAAGAGTTTAGGCTGTGAATTCAAACAGGTCTACCCTTCAGCGGGTTTTACCACAGTAAGCTCTGTTGCTTAGCAACCGTGAAATTAACACACAAAGCAGGAAAAGAATAAAAAACTGAAGTTTTCAAAAATTTTTGTTTATTTTTTTCTTTTTTATTATAAAGTGAGCAGAGACTACATTAACAAGAATCCAGAATGGAATAAATGTTCCAACCACCGGGAGCAGGAACAAATAAAATCAAATGTAATGATAGAAACCTTAGTCAGTTAAATAACCTGCTGCTGTCATTCTGCACATCTCTGATGTTGCTGCTATTTTCAAATATCCATTACTGTAAAAATGTCCATAGCTGCATATTGGTTATTAATTCTCCAGTTTTATATTGTTAAAACACTTTACAGTATTTTATTGTTTATATTTTAACTCTTCCCTATTATGTTATTCTTATACATTTTTCTAAGGTCCTCATTTGTGTGACCATTTTCAATAATCTTTCTGCTGCTGTAAATCTGCCCATTGTGGGAAGGGATTTTCTATTCTATAAAAGGGGTAGAAAGATATAAGTAAATCTAAACAATGTATGTATTAAAATATATCTGCAAAATCTCTAATATCTAACAACAAAAAATACTTAGTTAAGCATATTGTGCAAAACAGCAATAAAAAATTTAACTCCTATCAGATTTATAGTTCCCACTCTGCAGATATATTAGAATCTGTCCTTAAATTATAGCCAAACCCATTTACACAGAAACAGATTAAAACCTTTAGATAAATCAAACATTACCGCCACATATCTGACTCAATAACCATTAAAACAACTATTTTCATTTATTTCAGACGGAACTATTCACAGACTGGATTATATTAAACTGAACTTCCAATTTTCACCACTGTTCGGCGCCAAGTAACCCTTCCTCTGATCACGGAGCAGTCGGCTTGCTTGGTCTCGCAATGAATCCTGGGTAAACCAAGGATACATCGGACCCGTCCTTCAATCGGGCAAAAAGGAGGACGCATTTTAAGGCCGCATAACGACTAGTCTTGTAATCCAACCAGACCTCGGCGCCGCACTATGACGTAATCGTCCTTCGAATCTGGCCTTCTGAGGACGCGTCCCAGGTTTTTGAACAGAGCAGTTGACCCAGGCGTTGTCCCTCAACCACCTGCAGACACGATCTCTTCCAAAAATAGAAAAAATAGAATGGTTCCTTTTCCCATTGAAACAGCAGGGTAGACATAGTGCCAGTAATATAATAGGATCCAAGACCCACCAGATACCAGAAAACTGAATTCTTTTGTTTCTTTTTATCTTTTTAAGCAGACATGGCAGTTAAACCAAAGTTTATTTTAAATTGTAGCGTCTTGTGCCTAAAAACCCATCAGGAGGCTCAGTGAATCTCCCTAATAAAGTTCAAAAACATGAAGTAACATGATCCATAAACTGCTGCCGTCCCTCTGTAGTCTAGTTCAAAACAGCTCCTGCAAACATCAGTTGGCTTAAAAATGGGAACTACAGAACTAATTCTTTTAGAATAGGTTTATATATTAGGGTGAGCATATTTAGATTTCCATAAAGAGGACACTTTGCTCAGCCTCCAGACGGATTCAGACAGGCTTCTCAAAGGTTCATCAACAGCTTTATTATACCTAAATACCTGTTAATACCTGTAACAAGCAGTAACAATATAAAAAAATTATAGCTCTCTTTAAAATATATAAACAAAATAAAATAATATTCTAAACATGACCTCTTCTGTACTAGAAAGTACAGCTTCAACAAATGTTCCCAGGTCTAACAAAGTACTCAGTCAGCTTTGCAGAATAACTCTCACCTAGTTGCTTGGTTGTAGCGGCTCTGGACTCACACAGTTATAGCAACTGAACCACTTGTTTTATCAGGTGCCAAACCAACTGGGCCAGAATACGTACCTACATTATTTCCTGATCTAAGTTCTCCAACAAGCAAAGGAGGATTTATCCAATGGCCAGATTTGAAAACACTCAGGCTCTAAAAAGCAAAAAGATTAATGCTGATGGAGGAGCAACAGGAAAGACTGGAGAAGACAGAAGGTGAATGCCATTAAACTATTTATTTTACAGCTTTAGTTTGGCTGAAAATATCAGAGAAAACATGGAAAAAGATTGTTTCTAATTTATATGAAACCAGATAAAGAAACACATTTTTACAATCCATGAGGTTTTTATTGCTGCTCGTTCATCAATTTAGAAGAGATTACAATCATTAAAAACATCCACAGCAGAATATAATCCATCATCTATAACTTCTCATTAGCTTGTTGTATGGATGCTAACTTGCTTCATCTGTAACCAGGATGCTGTTGTTGCACTTTATTATGTTTATTCCCTTCAGTACAGAGAAATTAAGACATCATAAATGGAAACCTCTTTTTCTTCTTAAGGCAAACTTTTTTGGCCATTTAAATCTTCATTTTCTCAGGACCCAAAATAATTAACTGTCAAATGTTCACATCCACATGTTCACCCAGAACCTGAATATTTACCAGGTTTACAATAATACACCTTATCTGTTCTAGTTTCTATATAACGACAGCTGGAGATTAATGGCTTTCTCAAAACAGACTTTGACCCATCAGTTTCTTATGTAATGCAGTGGAGTTTCTAGATATATAAAATAGATATTTTATCCCCATTCAAACATGGAAAACGCTTATACTGTTCATTCCTGTGGCATCTACTGCTGTGACTTATGTGAAACTATTTTTTTCTTTTTTATCTAAATCATTCTACATCATGCATGAACAAATGTACTCTGAATACTCAAATAGGCTCTATGCACATCTCCACTACTTCCTGAATTTAAGGCAGCTCCTTTGTTTCCTGTCTTTCATGATTGGATGCACTGATTAATCCAGGTGTGTATGACCTAAGTAACTGGCCAGACACACCTGACAGGAAGACAGGAAACAAAGGAGCTGCCTTAACCCATTTAGGCCGGGAAAGCATTACCGCATTTCTACCATTCAAGCCGGGGGCGCTGTTGCGTAATTCTACCATTGACGCCGGGAGAGCATATAAGTCAAGCAAGAAGAAAGAAGTTTTTTTCAAGCAAACATGGAGGAGTTTGACAGAGAAGAGTTGTCGGAAGGCAATGATTTTAAGGAGTGTGTCGGCTTTGATGACGGTATAGATGAAAATGATGACTTTGAACGCGCTGAACCAATCGAACTACCACCGCAATGCACGGAGTGTTTTCAACCGCACACCTGGAGTGAAAGTTGATTTGCCTGCAGACGCCACACCGCTGCAGGCATTTGAGCATATTTTTAATGAAGAACTTTGGATGCATCTTGTTACCGAGACGAATAGGTACAGTGACCAAACAAACCAAACTCCAACAAGAGCAAAGATGGCAAAGTGGTCACCCGTGACTGTGACGGAGATGAAGACATTTATTGGGCTGTGTATGGGCATGGGACTTCTTGTGTTGCCAGTACGAAGAGATTATTGGCGACAGAGTAAACCTCTCTTCAGGACGCAGTTCCCCCAAAATATGTCCCGGGACAGATTTGTGGCCATCTGGAGGTAAGTTGTATGCAATTTATAACACAGACATATGCATTATTATGCATAATAATACTGTTAATAAGTAATCATCAGATAGTTATTTATGTAATGTTTGTTCTTTATTTTAAAAACGTTTTATATTGCACATTCTCAATGAAGACATGATCACATATGGAAAAAATAAAAGGTTGAATTTTTTTTTTTTTTGATTACTGCTTTTCACTTTTTTTTTTGGAAGAATTTCAAAGATAAAATATATTTTGATTTCTATCTGCTACAGAAGCTGAGATATCAATAATTTACTAGGCGTTGACACAGTTGCTGAATTTACAGAAAAACTTCAGGTTTTAGGGGTATTTTTTAAAATCGGCCATAGGTTTTTAAGGTGTTTTTTCCAGGCGTTTTAGGCCTAAATGGGTTATATTCAGGAAGTAGTGGAGCTGTGCATAGAGCCCATTACCTTCTCTTTTAAAACCTTTGTCAAAAATCCTTCAGGAGAACAGGTTTCACCTATGTGAATTATTTGTCCAATCAAAATACTTTTTAGAGTAAATCTTTTGCCACAAATCGGACAGGAAAAAGGCTTCTCTTCTGTGTGAATTCTGAGGTGTGTATAAAGATTAGATTTGTTGGTGAAGCTTTTTCCAAACGACAGACATTCAAAAGGTATTTCTCCTGTGAATTTGAATGTGTTTATTAAGATCAGACTTAGAGGTGAAGCGTTTTCCACTGGACAGACATTCAAAAGGTTTCTCACCTGTGTGGATTCTCATGTGTCTATTAAGATGAGATTTCACAGTAAAGCGTTTTCCACAGGACATACATTCAAAGGGCTTCTCACCTGTGTGAATTCTCATGTGTCTATTAAGATGAGATTTCCCAGTAAAGCGTTTTCCACAGGACAGACATTCAAAGGGTTTCTCACCTGCGTGAATCCTCTTGTGATTGGTCAAACTACTTTTTACAGTAAACTTCTTGTGACAAATCGTACAGGAAAAAGGCTTCTCACCTGTGTGAATTCTCATGTGTGTATTAAGATGAGATTTCTGAGTGAAGCGTTTTCCACAGGACAGACATTCAAAAGGCTTCACACCTGTGTGAATTCTGATGTGAGTATTAAGATAAGACTTGGACTTTAAGTCTCTTCCGCAGGACAGACATTCAAAAGGTTTCTCACCTGTGTGAATTCTCATGTGAGAAGTTAAACTATTCTTTCGAGTAAATTTCTTGTTACAAATCGTACAGGAAAAAGGCTTCACACCTGTGTGAATTCTCATGTGAGTATTAAGACCAGACTTAGAGGTGAAGCGTTTTCCACAAGATAGACAAACAAAAGGCTTCTCACCTGTGTGAATTCTCATGTGATTATTAAGATAAGACTTGGAGGTAAAGCCTCTTCCACAGGACAGACATTCAAAAGGTTTCTCACCTGTGTGAATTCTCATGTGATTGGTCAAACTATTCTTTCGAGTAAATTTCTTGTTACAAATGGTACAGGAGAAAAGCCTTTTATCTGTGTGAATTCTGATGTGAGTACTAAGGACAGACTTGGAGGTGAAGCGTTTTCCACAGGACAGACATTTATAAATCTTCTGACCTCTGTGTGTTCTCATGTCTCCACATGTCAAACATAGGGACGGTTTCACTCCTGTATTTTCCATCTCCTCCTGCAGAACAAGCTGCTGTTTGTGCTCGCTAATGGGGAGCTCCATGATTTCCTCTTCTGTCCAGGGATGTTCTGGTTCTTGCTGCTCTTCTTTTATCTGCAGAGGTTCTGGTTCCTTTTGGTCCAAACTGGAATTCTTCTCACGTCCACAGAGCTGCTGGTCAGATAAATCCTGCTCTTTTCCAACATGATCCTGAAGGTGGTCTGAAAGACAAACATAGCAGAAAGACTTCTCTTTAATAATCCTTGTGTTGATCTAATTACATATAAACAGACTGGAACATCATCTCCCAGCATGCACTTCAGCTCTGACACCACAATCACAGGTTTGGACCCCCACTTTTATCTTTAAAGCTTGAGATTATGCTTAAAATGAACATTTTCATTTTTCCAGAACACAAACCCAATCTCAGTTTTCCAAATAATGAAATCATTGATGTTTTACTGCCATATGAAGTTACGCCATATCTATAGCTAACTTTTAGCCTAATATTTGAGGGAACTTAAAGGAATAGTACACCCAAAACATGATTAGCCTTCATTTTCTACTCACCCCTATGCTGAACAACACTCTGGAGTAATTTTTTGATATCTCAAATGCATCTGGAGATCTGGGAGGCTTCTTGCTGTCTGCTGACATTCAAATAATGGAGATCTATGGTGCCCGAGACAGAAAGGTCCATAAAAGTCCACAAAAAACGTGTCAATATTCCTCCATACTGCTCGTCCAATGTATTCCAAGTGTCCTGAGTGGGTAGCATCCAGAATTTACTCGAAACGAAGTCATTTAGAATGTTTTTAGAGCATAAACAGTAGTGTATAGGATTTCCTGAAAGCGCGCACACGCGCGCTCACGACGCTACGGAAGCCGGCAGATCAAACCAGATGAAAGTGCGCATTCAGCGTCTGATCTTCCAATAATGCAAGCATAGAAGAAGAAATGTGCTGTTTACCGGTGCAAAGAAAGAAACAACGAAAGAAAAATATCTGAGGACTTCAGTGTTGAGGAAGAGCATGAGTTCTTTGCCGAGCTGAATGCGCTGGTTTGGTCTGCCGGCTTCCGTAGCGTCGTGAGCGCGCGTGTGCGCGCTTTCAGGAAATCCTATACACTACTGTTTATGCTCTAAAAACATTCTAAATGACTTCGTTTCGAGTAAATTCTGGATGCTACCCACTCAGGACACTTGGAATACATTGGACGAGCAGTATGGAGGAATATTGACACGTTTTTTGTGGACTTTTATGGACCTTTCTGTCTCGGTCACCATAGACCTCCATTATTTGAATGTCAGCAGACAGCAAGAAGCCTCCCAGATCTCCAGATGCATTTGAGATATCAAAAAAGTACTCCAGAGTGTTGTTCAGCATGGGGGTGAGTAGAAAATGAAGGCTAATCATGTTTTGGGTGTACTATTCCTTTAAATTATTTTATCTGGGGTGACTGAGCCGACCACTACTGAGTGTTTTGAATGGCAAGTATGATGTCATCCATTTGTTATAGATACATAAATGCACACAAACATTTTATTTTTCTTTTTATGCTCTAACAGTAAGAATTACTAGGAAATCAAATTAGAACTGTTGTTTTTTTTCTTATTGTTTTCTCAATATGTACTAGTTACTATTTTTTGTGTTTGAAAGAATTTAATTTTTCCAACTCTAATAATTAACAATTCCAAGACCAGCAGGGATTATAGCCCAAATTAGCCGTGCCATGCCTATTGTTCCCTACCAGGAAGGACAATTGTCACTTAACGCTATGAAGTGAAATATTCCCAGCTAAAATCCTGCTTACAAATGTTATTAACATGGTTGTAATTCTGGATGCTTGAACACATTAAAACTGCAGTATTTCTTTTTGAAACTATTTCATCATGTAGCACAGTGCATCGCGGCTAAAGCCCTGCTATGTCCGTTGCTAAAGCTATCTTGTGCGCGCCATCAAGGCTGAGACCACAATTCAGTAGCAATGTTTTATTAATAACAAATGATTTTAAAATCAAATCTTACTTTCAAATTACGGGCTTTGGCTGAGGTTGTTGTGGTGCTATTGTAAAAATTAGCTGGGGTGCTTTCCCAAAACCATAGTTGCTAAGTTATTGTAATGTAACAGTTTAGCAACTTTGATTTTAGTTAACAAGCTTTCTCTTAAGTCCTAAACGTTGGTATGGAACAGCCCAGGTGAAAATGTGAAAACTAGTATTACAGTTTACTTCATTTAGAGCTTTTTCTTTTTTACAAGTGCATATTTAACCACTAAGCCTAAATAAATAATAAATTGCCCAAAGCGTGTGTATGTTTATTGAGTCTACAGGGTTGTCAACTCTCACCCATTGAGCATGAGACTCCAACATCTCGATGTTTTCACACGCGCACACTCCATATTCCATATTTCCATGCTAAACAATGACGGACTTTAAAACTCAACTCCATTCCGGTTATTTATTTATAAAAACACCATGCTGATAAAAACCCAGTCCAAGTTTTTAACACAATCTTAGTACTAACACACATTTCAGCTTCATATCCAGTTCATATTTTGGAACTAGCCCACCTATGCACTGAGCTAAATATTGAAAAAAAATCCTGCGCTTACATATGACGTAGAATGTAAGGAACTAACAGCATTTCCTCACAACCCTGTCCTCTCTGACCACTTTTTAATAACCTTCAGGATTATTTTAGCAGAGTCCTCCTCCAACAAAGGAAGGTTTCACTTTAGCAGATCATTATCAGATGCTGCAGAGTGCAAAAGCTTAGTTTATTCCCCCTCACAGATTGATGATATTGATGATGGGCTTAGTTCTCTGCATAATGCCTTAGACAATGCAGCCCCTTTGAAAATGAAAAACATTAAAAATACAAAGCAGTTGCCAAACCCACTCAGAGCCATAGCTCTGTTGAACCACCCATTCCACCTGCTCTTAGCAGTAATGATTTTATGTGATTCTTTATAAATAAGAATAATCATACTAAAACTAAGATAATTAACACTCCTCTATCTACAATTGGTTTATCTCTGGAAGGTGTGTCAGCATCTGAGGTAGCCATAGAATCTGAACTTGGTTTAGACTGCTTTGATCGAGTTGAACTTTCAGAGTTAGCAAAACTACTGTCTGTGTGACACAGGGGTCAGTGCTAGGATCAATTCTCTTTACTATATATATATGCTCACAATTTTTAGAGTTATTAGACAGCATGGGATTAATTTCCACAGTAATGCTGATGATACCCAGCTATATATGTCTATGAATCCAGCTGAAGCTAATCCATTATATAGATTACAGGCATGTCTTGAAGACATAAACACCTGGATGACTCTTAACTTTCTTCTCCTGGATGCAGACAAAACAGAAGTTATAGTCTTTGAAAAAGAAGCTGATTAATCGGTCACTTCATTTGGATGGGATGGGACGACCTGGATGACTGAGAATCTTCACCAGCATCTTAGTTTACTATATCTTGAAGATGAAGTAGGGCCCATACTCCTTTACTTCAGTTCTCAGAAAATCACCAGAATATAGAAAATAATGTATATTGTTTGAAAGATCTTCCACATAACTACAGATCACCTATTGTTATTCAATAACATTTACTGTGCTTCCACATTTTGCTACTATGGCTACGTTCCCACTGCAGCTGAAGTGACCCAAGTCCATTTTTTTGGTCCATATGTGACCTGGATCTGATCTTTTCATGATAGTCTGAACAACACAGATCCCAGTTTTTCAAATGTGACCCAGGCTGCTTGGCTATGTGGTCCTGAATCCGATATATGCGCCCTGTGTCTGAACGGCCAGGTTGCATTAATCTGACCTGGACACCATTAATAACCGACAAACGTCACTATTCTGGGTCCTGCTATGAAGTAGCAGCTAAAAAACAAAAACAATGGCAGACGATGATGCAGAGAGCAATATTTATGTTTAAAGGAGAATTTCGGTTTTTAACACTTTTAGCCCATTTTCTGTAGTGTCCAGGATGAAATCGAATGATCGACACCAAAATTTTGACAATTGGTCCTGTCTCTGCTTTTTGGCTCATTTAGAATCACGTCGAGAATCAAGAATCCACCTTTCGTATTCCATTTTCAGAGTTTTTTAAAGTGTTTAACAGAGACGTTAGCACCTCGACGTCGGAGTACACAGAGTGAAGCGAAAAGACTACAACTGTGTAAACAGGCCCCATTTCCGTTTCCGGTGGCAGCGGAATATTGACTATTCCAACAGAACTCAATGGGATTTACAAAATGCTAAATAAAACAAGACAGGAACGTTTTTTCTTCACGAAACTTTTTTTGGAACGTCATTGAACAGCGCTGACGACCCGGTGAGTAGCATATTTAAAAAAAAAAGAACGTTTAAGGTTGTTTTAAGGACATTATCGGACATGCTCTATTGAAGCCATTCTGAAGCAGCCAGGGGTGGATTCTAAATGAGCCAAAAAGCAGAGACAGGACCAATTGTCAAAATTTTGGTGTCGATCATTCGATTTCATCCTGGACACTACAGAAAATGGGCTAAAAGTGTTAAAAACCGAACTTCTCCTTTAACCATCTTGAAAACATGTCTGTGAAGTCACTGCGTCCTCTGCAGAGCATGCGGGACACTGCATGACTGCAGTTCACACAGGAGATCAAATACAAGTCGCATTTATTTGGAAATGTGAACTGCAACGTAAAAAAAAAAAATAGATTTCACAAAAAATCTGAATTGAGCATCCAGGCCTGCAGTGTGAACCTTTGTTTCAGTTAAATCCTCTGAAAACCTCCAACCTTTAGCTGCAGCTGTAATCTAAGCCTTTCAATCTAACCCTGACAAGGGTTGCCTGTTCACACTATTTAAAAATCTCTTTCTATGGTTTGGTGAAAAGTTGGCAGCCCTGCAAATGTACAGATAGTTTGCTTTCTTACAAACA